CTTTTTTAGTGTTAACAATTGTGCATTATTTATAGATTTTATATAAAAATGGCTGCTGCGAGACGTACTGTTTACAACAGATTTTTTTATTTAGAACAACAAATCATTTACATTTAAACCACCTTCAAGGTCATAAGAGTGCAGCGTAAGTTGTATAAAACAGTCAATAACATACGTACTGCATAATAAAAACATAACAGCAGTGTCTGTTTTGTGCAACGTGAGGTAAACCATTGAATTTACTTGTGTTAAAGCACATAAAAACAGAGAACAAGAACTTCACATGGATTCCATTCAGATAAATCAGATAATACAATTTTCTGATACAACATAAAATTGGGAATCACACCCATATGACATTTGGGCATCAAAACACTTGAAATGTCTTAATTGCTCTCTTTCTAAAACCAGTATCTTCCTAGGTATGTGTTCACTCACCTGAAAAGCATGGAAATGGTCATGAAAAAAAGTTTCATGCTCACTCAAAACAAAAACAACTTGATCATTGTGCAAAATGATTGAGGCTATTTTGCTGAAAAGTGGTGAGTTTTCCTCAGTGCCTGTGCAAACAAAGAGTCCAACATGATACTCAACTCCACAACATTTTACCCACTTTGTGAGTTTGACAGTGGCTTGTGGATCAACTTGAAGGTATGCTTTTAAATCTTCTGCAAATTCTATTGTTTCGAGTAAACACATTTTGACTGGACCAGACTCAACTGATTTTGAAGCCAAGCATTCCCAATGATATGCTACTGCAAACTGGTGTTTATTTGCAAGTGACACAGTCAAATTTTTAAAGTTCTTAACACAATCTTTAAAAAATTTGTGTTTGGCTTCAAACCTCATGGTCCAGATATGAATGAGTGGTCCAATCTTTCTGATGCACCTTGGGTAGTGCACCATGAAATGATGTTTTGGAAGCAAGTTTTTTGATGGGTACAACTCTTTGAAGAGTTGGTGATGTTCAACAATAAGGTGCTTTAAATACACAGTCATTCCCTCAGTTATTGAGTATGAAAACACAATGTTTATAATATTCAACAACAAGAGCAGCAAGCGCCAGTGCAAATCATCCTCTGGTACCAGGTCGCCAAATATTAAAGATATGTTTGTGAGTAAACACAGTGTTTGTGAGGCATTTAATCCTATTCCATGTCCTCCACAGTCAAGGTTAATACATGTTGGCCTGTTTTTTCTTTCCAAATAGCCATAGTTAAAAGCATATATCCTGTTTAACAAGCTTTCTCTAGAAATAAAATGTTCAATCAAATATTCAAAAAGAAGCTTGACTTCATATTGACCAACCCCTTCCAAAATGTCATGCATGATGTCAACAGCATAGTTCTCAGCAGTATTGAAATACTGCAAAGTATTAAGGATGCTTTTTCTCTTGATGCCAAAAGAAGACATTAATGTTGGATCATCTACCAAACTGGCATAGTGTTGTTCATTCAAGTCAGGTGACCTTAAAGTCAAACTTGGGTCATCCTCAGAGAAAATGGACTGTGCTGAACATTTGTCAATTAAGCAAAATCGACAGAAATAATTTGCATTAAATGACTCAAAGAACCCAAGAATGGTATGCATACCTAAATTATCTCCTGTGATCTGTGCAAGTGTACCACGTACAGGTTGTTCAGTAAATGGAACAGGAATCCCATCAGTTTCAAGAACTTTCAAGTCCCTTATTAAAGGTTTCAGTATTTCATCAATACCGTATTTCTTAGCATCTTGTGCATGAAACAGTGATACCAAATGGATGTTCATCAGGGCAGAATTCAGCTTTGGAGGAAGGTTTCTGAGAGTGAAGTAAAGGCAGCCAACTTTATGAATACCTTTTTTTGACCCAAGAGGATTTGCACATTCAAAATCATCATAGTATAATTGTATTTGGAGAGCAAATCTATGAACTGAAAACAAAGGATGACTTTTAAAATAGTTTCCATCACAAAAGTCTTCATAAACGTCAGATTGAGTAACTGTTTGAATCATCTCACAAATTTTTTCATTTCTTAAAATGAACTTGAATGTTTTTAGAATAGGAATATAGATGAATTTATCATTGACAGGAATTTGTTCGTAAGTCCCAGTTGTTTTATTTCGTCTGGTATCATACCTAACACCAAGATGCAGTTCAACTGGCTGCACAATACCCCATTTGTCCTTGAAATACTTCTTCCATTTGGTATCAGAGTTCAACTGGCTAAAAGGGTTTTCCAAACTTTTAAAGACCTCTTCTATGGCTGACTTGCATGAGTTGTTCTCTGGGATTAAGTTCAATATTTGGTCCTGAATATTAGATTGCAGATCTTCCACAAATTCCTGTAAATTCTCAATAGTAGAAAGAACAACAGTATTTGGTACACCGCTTCCCAAAAGCTTTGCTACAATGGAAGCACTCATATCTTTCTTGTGACTGGACATTGGCGCGACTGTTACAGCATTTTGGCACTGAGATGAAGTTGAGGGTAGTTCATTTATGGACAGAGAATTGTTGCATTCTTCTGTGTCATAGTTGGAAAGGGTTTCATGAGGCACGCATATGTTATCAGTTAAACCATGTATCTTGATAAGATGTCTCCTAAACCCAGAATAACTAGAGAACTGCAAACAGCAACCTGTCTGACCACATTTTAGTCTTAGATTTTTTCCTGGATACATTCCATGAATTTGTTTTAGATGCCTGAACAAAAGCAAAACTGTACCAAAGGATGAAGTGCAGAGGAAACAACTCAACATTTTGGTTGAATAAACTAGTTACTGCTTGTTCAACAGCCTTGCTCTCAGCTCTTTGACTCTTGGAGTTTCTTCAGATCTACCTATGTCAATATTGTACACAGTTGTCTGCAAAAATGTGTACAGGCTGGACAGAGAATCATCGTACTTCACACTGAAGACAAAATGAGACTTAAACAGCTCGTCAAAAGCCCCCAGGGATGTACATGACTGACATGGTACAAGCTTTTTGTCCAAGACAATGTAAAAGTTGAAAACCTGCGCTTTTGAAGTCCCTGTGGCAAGAAGATAAGGCTGAGAGCCTCCTTTGGTGGTCATCAGATGATCCTCAAGGCTTTGACATGACTGAAACACAATGAAAACATCACCTTATAAATAATTTGCTTAAAAAAAAAATTCAATTTACTGCAGTATTTTGAATGAAATAGTCTTTTTCACAAACCTTTTGAAATTTCACCAGATGATCTGCTGCCTCTTCTACGCTGATTTTCTTGGGCCGTTTTCTTCCAGTTGGTTGTGGTGTGAGAAGATGCAGCAGGACAAGAAGAGAAGACATATCACTGTCCCACTCTGGAAATGGAGTAAATAACACTAGTTATTTTAAAATGGCCTATTTTGTGCATCTCTAGATTCTGTCATACCTTGTATTTGTTTTATAATACTTTAAAAAAAGAAAGTAAAAGTGTGCTAGTTACAACAAATGTACGTTAGAGACCAGAACATTATTTATGTTAAACATTAAATAAACTTTTATGCAAACAGATTTCAGTTATTTAACAATACAATTCGTTCTTCTGGGAAGTAATCAATAGAATCCTTGCGCATCCTGGAGATTTTTTTTAATTCTTATGACGTACCTGGATCATCAGTGGTGTCAGATCCTTCATTCAGAGCAGATGCCAGATGTCGTTTTAGAAGTGAGGTTTCCTTTAGGTTCTTGGCCTCCTGGATGACTTTGTCTTTAAAACTGGAGTTCCATTTTTGCAGGAACTTTGATGCGGCCTCTTCTCCAAACATCATTGAGAAGTCTTGCAAAATCTAATTAAAAAGGAAAGGACAACTATTTCAGCTAACTAACATAAACCTAATATTTTAATACAACTTTTTCAAATTAATTTTTAATACTTACCAATCCTTTAGTGTCCAAGAAGCGAGGAAACATTTGTAGTACATCAGCCGAGTGCTGTGGATCGTGCAGAATTTTCTGACGGTACTGGAAGGTTTCTCTCATCTTCTGGAAGACTAAGTCACAGTTTGNGTGCAGCGTGGGTTCTCTCTGGGTTCTCCGGCTTCCTCCCACACAGTCCAAAAACATGTTGAGGTTAGTAAAGTTATTATCAAGTTTTAATGTCAACATTCAGAGGATGTGGTCAGGAACACACATTAAGTTCTGTGATAACAAAGGAGTAATGACCGAAAGAACGAGATCGCGGATACAAGCGGCCGAAATGAGTTTCCTCCGCAGGGTGGCTGAGTGCTCCCTTAGAGATAGGGTGAGGAGCTCAGTCACGGAGGAGGAGCTCAGAGTAGAGCTGCTGCTCCTCCACATCGAAAGGAGCCAGTTGATTGCTCGGGCATCTTTTCCGGGTGCCTCCTGGACGTCTCCCTGGGGAGGTGTTCTGGGCGCGTCCCACTGGGAGGAGACCTCGGGGAAGACCCAGGACACACTGGAGGGACTATGTCTCCCAGCTGGCCTGGGAACGCCTAGGGGTCCCCCTGGAAGAGCTGGGGGAAGTGTGTGTGGATCGGGAAGTCTGGGCGGCTTTGCTAAGGCTGCTGCCTCCGCGACCCGACTCCGGATAAGCGGGAGAAGATGGATGGATGGATGGACAACAAAGGAGGAACCAACAAACACTCAAAACATGTTCTCCAGATGTTATCGAGATCTCAGATGACAGAAGTTTAACAATGTTCCAGTAATGTAACATATTAAAGGTAGAACATTTTTCCTTTGTGTTGAGGGAACACATTATAGAACGTTCTTGTATAAGGACGATAACGGTAACAAAAGAAGGATGNCACACTCACATTCACACCTACGGACAATTTAGAATCACCAATGAACCTGTTATAATTAAGTATGATTCAAGCTATTATGTGTTCTGAGTCTGTATTTTTCCATGAAGCCTATGGTTCTTATAATTAATCAAGTTTCAAGTTATTATGTATTCTGAGTTTGTATTTTGCACTGAGCTTATGTCTTTGAAGATAATGTGGCCGGTGAGAACCGGTTCACACACTTGGAGATAGCGGAAACTCCTCTTTTCTATCAGATATGATTGTTACTTTAGTTACACGCCGTACCAACAACATCCACACACGTTGCTTACCAAAAATGTCAAGGATGTGGACAGAGCTGCTACGCTGCATAGCAGAGCGTTCCAGCACCGTGACAGACTGTAATCTTGCAGTGTTCTTCCTTTTTCGTTGATGGATTGTGTTTTTTGTGATTGTGCAATACATTAAAATGTCAATAAAAACGACCAAACAGGTGAAATGACAACTGTAAAATAACATAAAATATCTGCAATGTTGCTTTAAATTACCATAGAAATGACTTTTTTATATATCAATGATTTGAAAGTTGTTTTTTTTAGATGAAAAGACACATTTTAAAATTTATTTAAATTTCATAAATGTTTCATTTTTATCTAATAGATCAAACTGTTAACTTCACGACGGTGAACATATTTTTAAAATTAGACACAGTCAGTGGTAAAAACAAACAGAAAAAGAAGCATTGGTCGTGTAATTTTAAATACATGTTTGTTAAATGAAAGCTTAAAAAAGTTAATGTCAAAATATATGTAGTCAGAATACAGTTTCTGACGTTACACCAGTGATGCACGATATTCAAATGTCTGGCCGATGCTGATATCTGATACTAAGATTTCTGATGTTACTGATGTCGATATTCAATTTTTGTTCACACTGAAAAATGAGTATAAATAAGCACTGTGAGAAAACTATTCTTCTTTATTACAAAAGTAAAACATATTTAAACATATTTAAGTCCAGGACTATTTAAGTAAAAACATCTGTGAAATAGCAGCGACATCAAACGTAGAGACGAAGGCGCTGATGTCAGACAATCATCGGCTACATTTGTTCATCGAACCGATACCGATGTGGTCGCCGATATATCGTGCATCCCTACATCACACGTATATATTTTGTCATTGTGTCTGTTTATATTCTAATTGTTATAATGATTTCATTCAAATGGAAAATGACTACATTTTTCTAATTATTTTCCATCTTTAACAGTTTTTTTCTTGTTTTTTGTGCCTCAGCTGCTGAAACATTTCGCCAAAGTTTCTCTTCTGTCTTTACAGCGAAGGTCACAGGGAGGCCACCAAAACTCTCGTAGTTTCTCCTCAGGAACGTGTGAAGTGAGCGTGAACCAGCTGAACAATCTGTGCAAGCGTTCAGTGCAACACCATTTCAATATTTGCATTCCTCACTGTCAAAGTGGCTGAAACATTTCTGCAAAGAGCAGACATTCCAGCGATAAATCCAGATGGACCTCCGGCTTCCAGCGAATGGGTTTGACGGTTCTTCAGACTGAGCAGACGTGCAGCCTCTCCCTGCACCAGACATCTGAGGTCAAACACAATAAAAACCTTGTGCAGTATTTGTTTTTACACACACACACACACTAGGATGCGGGCTTTATGACACTGTGGACAAAGCCGTGCAATATTAATGCTTCTGTCGCTGTTAGTGAGAGAACCTGTGCAACGGTTTATTTTTAATTTTCAGCACTGATATTCCTTAAATTCTCCCCTTTGCTGCTGTGACAATGCAAATGTCCCCACCGTGGGATTATGAAAGGCTCATATTATGTCTTAAATATTACAAAACCTCCTCAGATTTATTGATCCCCTTAAATTAAAGAAAAGGCAAAATTCACAACAGTCACTCAAATAACTAGAAACTGAAAAAAGTAATAATAAATAAAAATTTGCTAAATTATAATTTAGTGAAATAAGATGTTGCTTTTGAATTGTGGTTGAAAAGAATAATTAAAAAAAAAATAAAACTGTCCCGGACAAATTGGAGCGCTTTGCTGTTGAGCAGCCGGTTCTAAAACACCAGATGGCCGTGGCCATAAAGGGGGGATGAGGATGCATCTCAGGTGATGGCAGCAAGAGAAAAGTCCGAAAAACAATGACAAGGAGAGAAAAGACAAAACAAGAAAACCTGACACCTTCATCAGCCGATGCTAACGACGTGCCGATGTCCTCGTGCCTCTCTAATGGAAGCTATATTCTGCGTCAGGTTTTCTTTTCAAAGTCTTCGACAGTCGGCTTTTACAGCAGATCCTGCCTGGGTGTCCTGCTGTCTGAAGCAAATTATTCTCCGGCTGTATTGGCAGATGAAGTCTGTATAGAGGATGTTTCCTAAATGAAGAGTAACGAGCGCCGTATCAGCGCCGCTCAGTCCACTCGGCGGGTGATTAAGTAGCTACTTCCGAGGCTTTCCGGCTGAATTCGGGAAACGCATCAGAGGACTGGGATTGAATTTGCACAAATTAAAAAGGAGCAAAATGAAAGAGGTGTCTCGAGGTGATTTGTCTTTTCTTTTTTAACCAGACAGATGAAATCCACCACGTTAACAAGGCCTTTATTTGCCCACACTGGCGTTTTAATTACATCCACCCTCAGCTCACGCGTTGTCAGGAATAGACGGATGGTGGAGGGTGTGAGGAGAAAATCTAGGGCGAGGGAAGATGTAGCGTGACGGGACGGAGGATAAACGAGGAGAAACCCGGGAGGAAATTGGCAAGCGAGCTTCCTCATCAATCAGCGAGCGCAGGACAAGATTTGTAAAGCAGATAGAGGAAGGAGAAATCAATAGAGACGGAGGGTCCTGCACACAGACAGCAGAACAAATTGCATGCAGACCTCCTTCCTCTTTTACAGCATCCAACCCTTCGACCTTGCATCACTTTCTCTGGTTTCTGTTGGCAGAGATGCAGCGCTCGTCCCAGATCCCTGTTTGGTTTGTTTCTAAGGATGCGACCTTTTGGCCCCCTGAGCTCAGATGGACACACGACAGCGAGCGTCCTTAAAGGTGAAGAGTCACGACGTAAATCCTAGAAAACGTACGAAGAAGCTGCATGTGCTGTGAATTACAAAACTGAAGCAGAGCAACTAATGTAGGGATTGAGCTCTCAAAGATCGCAGGCTGCTGGCGCGATTACAAGGGTTGTTGTCAAATGTATGGTGGCCCCAGAAGGACAAACTACAGTAAGCAAAACACAATAAAAACAAATAACAACAAGGATATTTCACAAAATGCAAAAAAAAAGTACTGCAGAAAATTTTCACAAACAATATTTTCCAAGTAAACAAAGTAAAAGAGACAAGTTGTCGTTTTCACCTGAAGTTGTCGCCTACAGTTATGTGAAATGTAATAAATAACTGCTGTTTTTGGGGGTTTTTTTTAGACATAGTTGTGACTCGATAATCCGACACTAAATGTAAAACCTTCTTCTATGTCGCATAGTGTTGTGCATGAATATATTATACATTGTGTGAAGTATAGTCCTTAAGGCTTAAAAGAAACAGGAAGTTACATTTATGCACGAAACTTCTTCTTTCTGTGAGGCCTTTGGGTTTTTGCCTTATATGGTTTTACAGGACAAGCAGCTGACAGAGTCAGATGAAGATACAGTTACTCGAGTGTGATGGAAATGGGCTGTAACCAACTGTTTTGTGAGATAATTATACATCATGTGATTTAAAAGTATAAAGAAGGGTCACAGGAAAAGGGAAGTGTCTTACTCTGTCTGATGCCAGGGAGAGTTTGACCCAGAGCTCTGTAACGCAATATTCAGCTGTGATTAAATTGATTAATTGAGACCGATCTGAATCTTGTCTCATCTTTACAAACGAACACGCGGAGAAAAGACAGTTTCTCCCAACAATAGCAAGGCTGTCGGATTGTCAAGACGGAGGTCCAGATACAAGGAGGGCTTGATGCTGGAAGGCTCATTAGTTGTTCATTATTGTTCATAGTTGTTATAATAACTAGTGTGTTGTTAGAACACGACGCACCTTGTTCAAATACAGTTTGGAAACGTGGGCCTTCAGCAACGCTTCAGTGTCGTTTTGTTCTCCGTCTGCAGCTCTGACGCTCACAACTCTTCAACCTAAACAGCTGACCACACCAGACTATTCCAGATATTTCTTCTGGTTGTTGATCAGTGAGAATTCAGAACCTCTTGAGTAGTTGTTGTTCAGGTAAAGTTTATTGAGCCGATGCTTTCTGCTCAGGTTTGTGTTCACAGAAGGACGATGCTCTCTGGAACCTTTTAAAGGCCTCTTCTGCTTTTTAAAAATATCCTTCACTGGAAAACTGAAGGAGATGGATGAAAACTTTTGACTTTGAAGAAAGTTGTAAAAAAAAGTCTCTTATTTTTCTGGTGTTTAGCAAAAATATATAATGCTGGTAATCCTGACTGACCTGAAACAGGAAAAGTTTACTCACATTTAATGTCAGACGGTGAGATAAAAAGCTTTTATGTCTTTGTACACAGTGGATGTGAACTTCTGGTTTTAACTGTATGTCTGCAATTCACAGAAGTGATTTGATTAAAACAAACAAAACAATCTTTCCCACTTGAAAATTGCACATGAATGTGGGGAAAAGCTGAGTTTTACAACAGCTTTAGAGGTTTTTTTTAAATATACAATACAATATAAATAAACTGATTAATCCCACTAGAGCCAAACATAGTGACGTACTAGATGCATTTGCTAAAAGAAAGAAGACTTCTCCTCATGCTCACGTCTCCTCTTTATTAACTAGAGGCTGTTTTCATGCGGTTTGTTGCTTTTAAATATTCAGAAACTTTAATTTGAGCTGAAATGAAACGACACAGAACAGCAGGTGGCGACACGGAGCTCACAAACTATGAAACTGATCATCAATATCAATCCAAGTCATAAACAGGTATTTGTTTTAAACTGTTTTGTTGTTTTTTTTCTACCTGTGTTGCTGTAGTCTGACCCTTGGCCTGGCTGTGTTTGATATTTCCCAACACTGACCTGTAAATACAGCCGTCCGGGAAATCATTTTGAAATCTGGACTCTAAACAGATAAATCAGTGTTGTGGGAGCTCTTCCAAACGCTGGTGAGCGCTGCTGCGTTTGTGTGGATGTTACACACCTTTACTCTGAGATTAGGATGTGTTTACTGAGCTAGCTGTTATGGTTTGTTCTGTAATAACATCATAATGTAGGAATAATGTGTAAATCATCCATCCATCATCTCTACACCTTAGTCCTCACTAGGGTGGTGGAGGCCTGGAGTCTGTCCCAGCTGACTCAGGGTGAAGGCAGGTTCACCTGGACAGGTAACCAGTCTATCACAGGGCTCCACTTAGAGACAGACAAGCAAGCACACTCACATTCACACCTACGGACAATTTAGAATCACCAATTAACCTCAACATGTCCAAAGTTATGAAGTAATGCCACATAGTGTTGATTTTCAGATATATATATTTTTTGGTCAAAGTATTCTTCCAAACTGTGGAGTTCACTTGAGTCTCTGAGGTCGATGTTTAAACAAGAGAAAGAGAGAGAGGAGTCTGCCGTGTTATTCCTCCTCTGCTTGGTGTGGGCTGACGTGCTCGCTGCATTGTGTTGACAGAGCTACAGTGTGACAGCAGTGTTTACTCCACGTTTCCTAGCTTTTGCGGGAATCGACTTCAACAATTATTAACCAGTTCTGATCTGAGCTCATCGCTCTGCTTTGTCATGCGTTATTTGGATTCCCGACACAATGTGTGCGACACATCTTGGCTTTGTGCTTCTGGTTTGGTTTCCTGCAGTGCTACACGGTAAGATTGTTCAATGTGTCACCTAGAATCCTTTTCATTGCCTTCAAACAAATCACTGTGCATTTGTTTGTGATTGTTTCAGCACAAAAGTCATCCAAACCGTGTCTCGCTCCTGAGCTGAACGGCGGCTATTTAGTGCCTCAAAAACAAACTTATCTTCATGAAGAAGAGGTGACTTACGCCTGCGATGTGGGAAAGAAACCGGCAGTGGAGGGCTGGTGGGCAACAAGCACATGTGAAAATGGCAAATGGTCTCCTAAACCACAGTGCATAGGTAAGTGAAGCCCTGCAGAAATGGTAGGAGTCAGTTGTTATTGCATTTTTGCAGATTATTTTCAAGAATTTGTTCTGCAAAACATTAATGTCATGCATCTCTCACTGTGTGTCACTGTGAAGTAGTGAAATTAACTTTATCCTTATTGCATGTTTGAATTATGTTGTTCAATTTTGAGCCAACAATAGTCACATTTATATCTTAACGGGGAAAAATGAAATCTGAATTCAACTGTTAAATCCACATACTTGCCGACTATCATTTGTAAAAGGAAAAAATATATATTGTAGAGGTATTCACTCCCTTACAAGTTTTATTGTTTGATAAAAAAGTGATTGCACAAGTGTTCGTCCCCTTCAAGTCAGCATTTAGCAGATGCAGCGTTGAGCCTGTAGCTTCCTATCAGCCTCACACACTCTGGCTCTTCTCAAAACTGCTCAAGCTTGGTGAGGATGATTCCCTTTCCAAGTGCAGCCACAAACTCTTGACTGGATTGAGGTCTGAGCGCCGACTCAGCCGCTCCAGAACACTCACCTTGTTGTCTTTAAACCTTTTCTTTGTAGTTTTGACTGTTTGCTTCGGGTCATTGTCCCAATCGTCTCCCAAGTCGTAGTTCTCTTCAGGACATCAGGTTGCCCTCCAGAATTCCTCAATACATTNGTCCGGGAAATCATTTTGAAATCTGGACTCTAAACAGATAAATCAGTGTTGTGGGAGCTCTTCCAAACGCTGGTGAGCGCTGCTGCGTTTGTGTGGATGTTACACACCTTTACTCTGAGATTAGGATGTGTTTACTGAGCTAGCTGTTATGGTTTGTTCTGTAATAACATCATAATGTAGGAATAATGTGTAAATCATCCATCCATCATCTCTACACCTTAGTCCTCACTAGGGTGGTGGAGGCCTGGAGTCTGTCCCAGCTGACTCAGGGTGAAGGCAGGTTCACCTGGACAGGTAACCAGTCTATCACAGGGCTCCACTTAGAGACAGACAAGCAAGCACACTCACATTCACACCTACGGACAATTTAGAATCACCAATTAACCTCAACATGTCCAAAGTTATGAAGTAATGCCACATAGTGTTGATTTTCAGATATATATATTTTTTGGTCAAAGTATTCTTCCAAACTGTGGAGTTCACTTGAGTCTCTGAGGTCGATGTTTAAACAAGAGAAAGAGAGAGAGGAGTCTGCCGTGTTATTCCTCCTCTGCTTTGTGTGGACTGACGTGCTCGCTGCATTGTGTTGACAGAGCTACAGTGTGACAGCAGTGTTTACTCCATGTTTCCTAACTTTTGCGGGAATCGACCTCAACAATTATTAACCGGTTCTGATCTGAGCTCATCGCTCTGCTTTGTCGTGCGTTATTTGGATTCCCGACACAATGTGTGCGACACATCTTGGCTTTTTGCTTCTGGTTTGGTTTCCTGCAGTGCTACACGGTAAGAATGTTCAATGTGTCATCTAGAATCATCACAACTAATTTCACTTGAGTGCTCATTTGTTTGTGACTGTTTCAGCACAAGAGGAAGAACAACCGTGTCTTGCTCCACAGCTGGATGGTGGTTGTTTAATACCAAGACGACAAACTTATCCTCATGAATCAAAGCTCCATTACACCTGTGGTGAGGGACAAAAACCACCAGTGGAGGGCTGGTGGGCAACAAGCACATGCGAAAATGGCAAATGGTCTCCTGAACCACAGTGTATGGGTAAGTGTTCTGTAACATCTCATAACCCTACAATAGCGTAACCTTTAATCTGCGGCATTTTCAGTTATCTGTTCTGCAAAAGGGCTGCACGGTGGCTCGGTGATTAGCACCGTTGCCTCGCAACAAGAAGGTCGCTGGTTTGCATCCTGGTGAGGACACCTGGGATCTTTCAAGTTTTAACCAACAATAGGTTTATTTATATCCTCAGGGGAAAAATGATAATTACAATTAAATTGTTATATCCACATTTCACGGTTTATTAGGGAACCCACGTGTAGACATGGATAAGGACGAGGAGACTAGAGGCATTGAAGTGAGCAATTATTAACGAAGGTGAAATGCGTGGTGTGCTATATCAAAAACCAACTGAACCAAGACGACCAGGGGACTGAGTGAGCGAGCAAACTAAAGACTTTGTTAACTAAGGAGAACTCAACAGAGAAGACCAAGAACACGAGCTAAGAAACGATTGGGTTGACACTAATCACAGGAGGAGACAGGAGACAGAATCTATAGGGAAGACACACGAAATTATGAGACAGAGCTAACCAAAACCAAGTATTTGTTTCTCTTGAAAGCCAATATGTAGAGCTCAAATTGCTCCATACCTAAAATAGAATTGCTTTTGAAATGCAAATCCATCCATCCATCCATTAGCTGTACCCACTTTATCCTGTCAAGTTTTCAACATCTGAAACTGTGGGCCTCAGACAAAGCTTAGAAAAAAGTTGCACCCTCAAACCTATTTAGTTTAGTTGCTTGATTTTGCTGAATGTCTGCATCCCCAGGGGGTCACAATTATGTTATTTTCAGATCAGATATATCCACACAAATAACTCAAAGACAGTTAAAAGACCTTCACAGTTTTTTTTTTTCTTCTTTTCCCACAGATGAAACAGCCTGCCTTCCACCAACTATCCCCAATGGAAAATACATAGAAAACCAAAATGGTTGGTATGCAGAGCACCACAACCTTATGGTAACATGTCATGACGGATATGAACTCAAAGGCAACTCTGGAAGAAGCAGGTGCATAAATGGAACATGGTCCTCTTTGCCTGTCTGTGAAAGTAAGTCTTTCAGATCTGCAGGTTTGAATTTCCAGGAACTACTCGTGTAGCTGTCTTTACTTTTTATCTCTCTCTTTTTTACAGAAAGTCCCAATGCATGTGGTGAGCCTCCTCAGATCCCCCATGGAGTCATCATTGGTCTGGGACAGCAGAAGGTGTTTGGTGCAAATTCCAAAGTGCTGTATCAATGTGAAAGTGGGTATACAACTGATGGGACAACCACCCAAACATCTGTCCTTTGCTCGTCTGGAAACTGGCTTGGAATCCCATCATGTGGTAAGTGGACAGTGGACTGAGATCCATCCATCCATCCGTCATCTCTACACCTTAATCCTCACTAGGGTCGTGGGGGCCTGGAGTCTGTCCCAGCTGACTCAGGGTGAAGGCAGGTTCACCTGGACAGGTAACCAGTCTATCACAGGGCTCCACTTAGAGACAAACAACCAAGCACACTCACATTCACACCGCACCGGGCCACCTGTCCATCTCGTGCTCCATTTTCCCATCACTCGTGAACAAGATCCCGAGATATTTAAACTTCCTTGCTTGAGGAAGCAACCCCCCCCCCCGGAGGTGGAAATCCACTGGTTTCCGGCAGACGACCATGGCCTTGGACTTGGAAGTACTGATCCGTATCCCCGTCGCTTCGCACTCGGCTGCAAACTGCTCCAGTGCGTGCTGAAGGTCAAAGTCTGATGAAGCCAGCAGTACCACATCATCCGCAAAAAGCAGAGAATTGATCCTGAGGTCCCCAAACCAGACACCCTCCTCACCCTGACTGCGCCTTGAGATCCTGTCCATGAAAACCACAAACAGGATCGGGGACAAGGGGCAGCCCTGGCGGAGTCCAACACCCACTGGGAACGTGTTCGACTTATTGCCGACAATGCACACACAGCTCGCACTTTGGTTGTACAGGGACTGAATTGCTCGTAGCAGCAAGCTTGGTACCCCATACTCCCTCAGTACCCCCCACAGAGTCCCTCGAGGAACACAGTCATAGGCCTTCTCCAGAGCCACAAAGCACATGTGGACTGGCAGGTCGAATTCCCAATCCCCCCTCAGCAACTCCGCAAGGGTAAAGAGCTGGTCCACTGTTCCACGACCAGGACGGAATTCGCATTGCTCCTCCTGAATCTAAGGTTCGACAATTGGCCAGAGTCTCCTTTCCAGCACCCGAGAGTAGTTCAGTAGTTCAGTAATTTCCCAGACTGGGATAAATCAAGCATTTTTCTATTCTATTCTATTCTATTCTATTCTATTCTATTCTATTCTATTCTAGAGTAAATTTTCCCGGGGAGGCTGAGAAGTGTGATTCCCTGGTAATTGGAACACACTCTCTGGTCCCCCTTTTTGAAAATGGGAATCACCACCCCAGTCTGCCACTCCACAGGCACCGTACCCGATGTCCACGCGACATTGAAGAGAAGTGTCAGCCATGATAGTCCGACAATGTCCAGAACCTTTAGCATCTCAGGGCAAATCTCATCCACACCTGGCGCTTTGCCACCGAGGAGCTTTTTAACTACCTCGGCAACCTCCACCACGGATATGGACGCAGAAACCCCTGAGTCTTCAGGCTCTGCCCCCTCAGCAGAGGACGTGTTTACCAGGTTCAGGAGTTCCTCGAAGTGTTCCTTCCACCGCTCAACAAGATCCCCAGTCTGGGTCAGCAGTTCTCCTCCTCGGCTGTACACAGCCTGGGTGACTCTCTGCCTCTCCTTTCTGAGGCGTCGGACAGTGTGCCAGAACTTCCACATCCCAAGAGCTAGTCTATGCCACCAGGGGGTGGTACGCCAGGACACCCACTCCTATCTACCACCCAGTGGGCATAGCACCCAACCCCGATCCTCTGCCCTGAGGGTGGTGGCCCTCTGAGCAGCGGCCCCATGTCACTTGTTTGGGCTGTGCCCGACCGAGCCCCACGGGGCCCCAAGGCTCAGCCACCAGGCGCTCCCTGGTGAGCTCCCCCCCGCAGGCCTGGCTCCAGGAGGGTGCCCCGGTCTGTAATTTAAACTCAAATGTCTAAAGTAAAATTGGCTTCATAACTAATTCTTTTGTTAGTTCATGGTTTTTAGTCCTGACCTCCATCTGAACTTGTCTGGACAACTTCAGACAGTTGAGACTGGTAAATAAAAAATACCTTTTATTGTTTCGAATTCGTCTAACTTCATGTAGGTTATTAGTTTAACAGAATTTCAGTAGTGAATTTAGGGT